AGACGATAGATGATAAGTAGATAAATAGGTGATAGGTGATAGATAGATCATAGATGGTAGATAGATGATAGATAAATGATAGATGATAGAGAGGAGAGTCAGAGAGTCAAATCAGGACTTTACAAACAACAGATTCTCATCATTTCAGTCAGATTTTTAACACTGACTATTTTTTTCTTCTTCTACAGCATCTCTTGTGGATGGGAATGGCCTTGGATTTGCTTTGGGGCCAGCCTTGGACTCTCGATCCTTCTGCTCCAGTGTGCCGGTAGTGCAGGTGTGGACTGTGGCTCAAGGTTGTCTACGTTCTAAGTGAAACACAGTGCCAGTGTGGCAAGCCTCAGGAGGGGCTGGGCCAAGAGAAGGCTTTCTGGAAGAAGATATAGAGGTCTCCCATTTTGGCCGTCCTCTGTGAGCTCCTCAGCACAGACAGCAGGTGGCCCCTGAATACACACGCAAGCAGGGGCAGGTACACTCTTTGAATTGGTTTCTTTATTCCCCCCCCACACTAACATTTATTTTAAATTATGTATAGAAGTGTATGGCTGTGCTATAAGTACAGGTGCCTGCAGAGGTCAGAGGCACTGGATGCCCTGGAGCTGGAGTTACAGGTACTTGTGTCTTTAGATCATGGGTGCTGGGAACCAAACTCAGGTCATTTGTAACAGTACATGCTACATGTACTTAGCCACTGAACATTTCTCCAGCTACCCCTACCCCCATATCGTTCTCTTAATAAGGCTTTGTTGTTATTTTGAGACAGGGTTTCTCTGTGTAGCCCTGGCTGACCTAGAACTTGCTCTGTAGGCCTCCTGTGGGTTTTTTTCTGGCTAAGCTAATGGGTCATGTAGCCATCAAGTCCTATGGGGGAACTGCTTAGCAGTTCTTGCTTACTGTGATTGTAAAAGTTCTTCCTGATATTGTACCTGGCCTCTCTGGAGAGAATGAATGTCTAAAGAGACACGTATACTCTCCTCTTTGGCTATAGAGTAACCAGAGTATTGAAAGGACAGCCCCTGAGATGTTAGGGTTCCCCCAGCAATGTCTCTATGGGAGAGCTGAAACCCTTGGCCACCCAGAGGAAGGATTTGTCTCCCTGACAAGGACTGACTGGTTAGCTGACCTTGCAGGGGAGGCCTGGAGCCATTGCTGTCGTGGGCTGGGCACCATACCTTTTGGAACTGCGTATCTCTTGCTTTCCAGTTAACCCTACACTCATGTCAGGACCCCCAAAAGATGGACTGGTGGAAGTTGCTGGACCTCTTTCTCTCTCTCCCCTACATGGCCACACTGAATGACTCCACCTTTTCACTTTTCACTATCGATTGGTTTATTGAGGATGGGTGGCAAAACCTGACTTCTTGGGGCACAGGCTGTGACCCCTAAGTGCAGTAACAATATAAGAGCAAGCCCCTCAGGGGTTACAATAAAAACATAAGGGAGGGGTCGGGTGAGAGGGCTGTGCAGCTAACAGCACTTGTTGCTTTTCCATAGGACCAGGGTTCAGTTCCCAGCACCCACATGGTAGCTAACACCCATTCCGGAGGACCCAACCCCTCTTCCGGTCTCTGGGGGCACTATACATATGTGATACACAGACACATACAGGCAGACACCCATCATATAATGAACAAAACCCACCACCTATCTACCTAGCGATACTCAGTCATTCGGACAAGGTGACGGCGCATATTCTCAGTATTGCCAAGGTGGAGGTAGGAGATCGTAAGTCCGTAATGTGGCTAAATAGTGAGTCTGAGCTACATGAGACCCTGTATGAGAGAGAAAACAAAACAAAAACACCCCTCCCCCCAAAGCAGTTATACAGTAGTCGAAGTGTGTTTTTGTATGTAAACACATTATCTTCAGGGACTTTTATTGGTGGCGCTTTTGTGGCGCTAGATCTCGGAACCCACGGCCACAAGCTTGCTCACCAAGTGTTTTGCCCCTGAGCCCCAGCCTGCTACCACACTGGACTTGTATCTAAGCTGTTATTAAGCAAGTCCCAACCTGTTCAGCCTGAAACCACATGGTAGGAGAGAACCGAGTCCTGCAAGTTGTCCTCTGACCTTCACGTGTGCATGCTAACGCAATTCATGAAAGAAATGAAAATCCAAAACTAACACGGTCCATCCGTGAGATGGCTGAATGGTAAAGAACGCCATCTGCCGGCCCTTAGAGCCTGAGAGGGGTCCCCAGGACCCCCACGGTGGAAGATGAGAACTGACTCCCAGAATCTGTTCTCTGTTGTCCACATGCACACCATGGCAAGCATGTGCCCATACACATACAGAGACGCGCAAAATAAATAAATGCACAACCACCACCACCACAAAAAGCCAGGCTTGGTGGTTAACGCCAACGCCAGAGAGGCAGGCAGGTCTCTGTAAGGTTGAGGCCATCCTCATCTACACAGTGAGCTCTAGACAAGCCAAAGCTACATAATGAGACCCTGTCTTGAGAAAACAAACAAACAAACAAGCAAATAAATAAATAAAAACAAAAACTCCAAAAATATATAGTCCTGAGTTGTTCATACATGGAACGAAAGGACCTTGTTCTAAAGGAAGGGCCCAGTTCCTGGGAGTGTACAAACACCCATCAGTCAACTTTCTTTCTCTCTTTTTAAGGTATTTTATTTTATGTGCGTGATTCTTGTCTTCATGCATGTCTACACACCACACCCCTGCCTGTTGTCTGTGGGGATCAGCCGAGTGCCTCGGACACCCTGGTGCCAGAGTTAGGATGGCTGGAAGCCATCATGTGGGTGCTGGGAATTGAACTCACGTCCTCTGCAGATGCTCTGAACCCCTGCCTGACCCATCCTCTCTCCAGCCCCAGATCAGTCCATTTTCAGGGGTGGGAAGATATAGAAATTGTATCAGCATTTGACAGACGGATGAGCTTGGTCAAAGGATTGTGTTTCTCTTCAAAAAATGGAGCTTTCTGAGTGGGTGAAATCTAGAAAAGCATTTTGGGAAGTACAGTCCTATTGAAGGAGATGGGAACTAGACACAGGAGGAAGCCACCGGCCGCACTGTTTGGTAGCGAGGTGTCCCAGAAAAGCATCCTGGCATGGAGGAGGACACAGTGTTATGAGAGATGTTTGCCGCCACTGTTCCTAGGCAGGGAGCCAGGAGCAGTGTACCTGGCCATGAATTTTAGTGGTCACGCAGTTTACAGTGGTGTGCTTGGGCAGGCAGAACCCCGTCTGGTGCCAGGAAAATCTGGTCCTTCACTGGGGAAAAGCACAAACCCGGGAGATAGCAAAGAAGCCAAGATAAAGAATGAGTAGAGATTTTCCTAGTTACAGACGGTAACATTGGACACTGCTAAAAACTTGACAGGGTCTCATGTAGGAGGAAGAGCCCAATGTCTCCTCTCCATTTTATTCATGGAAGCACTAATGCTCAAAGCAGGGGATAGCTGTCCTTCTGTCACACAGCTGTTAGATCTCAGAACACTCAGAGGCCCACATTCTATTTCTTTGCCCTTCCTTTTTTCTTTCTTCCTTTTTTTTTTTGGTCAGGGTCTCACTATGCAGCTGTCCTGTAACTTGCTATGTAGACCAGGCTGGCCTCAAAACCACAGAGGTCTACCTGCCTCAGCCTCCCGAGTACTGAGATTAAAGGTGTGTGCCACCACACCCAAAAAGATTTATTTATTTTACATTTTTGGATATTTTGCCTACATGTATATCTGCACACCAGAAGAGGGCATAGGATCCCATACAGTTATAGACGGTTGTGAGCTGCCATGTGGGTGCTAGGAATTGAACTTGGGAGTTCTAGAAGAGCAGCCAGTGCTCTTAACTGCTGAGCCATCTCTCCAGCCCCGCCTTTTCTTTCTTTTCTTTCTTTCTTTCTCTCTCTCTCTTTCTTTCTTTCTTTCTTTCTTTCTTTCTTTCTTTCTTTCTTTCTTTCTTTCTTTCTTTCTTTCTTTCTTCCTCTCTCTCTCTCTCTCTCTCTCCCTCCCTCCCTCCCTCCCTTCCTTCCTTTCTTTCTTAAAGACAGAGTCTAGGCCAGGCAAGAGACTGGTGGCACATGCCTTTATTCATCTTTATTTTACGTGTATTGGTGTTTTGCCATGGATGTTGTTGGGTCTCTGGAATGGGAGTTAAAGACATCTGTGAGCTGCCATGTGGGTGCTGGGAATTGAACCCAGGTTCTCTGGGTGAGCAGACAGTGCTCTTAACTGCTGAGCCATCTCTCTAGCCTCCTGGCACATGCCTTTAATTCCAGCATTCAGAGGAAGGCAGACCTCTGAGTGTGAGGCCAGTGTGGTCTACCGAGCAAGTTCCAGGACAGCCAGGGCTACACAGAGAAATCCTATCTCAAAAAAAAAAAAAAAAAAAAAAAAAAAAGTCTCCCCATGATGCCTAGACTGGTCTAGAACACTCAAGTAATCTGTAATCTGCTTCAGTTTTCCAACTAACTGGGGTTGCAGGCACACCAGGCCAAACTAAATCAAAGTTCATGACTCTCTCTTGGGAACCGTTTCAAACTTATTCACTCACTAAACCTATAAGGAGTTCCTGCAAGGTGCAGAGGGCTATGCGGGCAGAAATCTCTCCCAGCATTGGGGAGATTGTTTTGTGGAGGTGTCCTGGGGATGAATAAAAATATTTTAAGCCAGGCAGTGGTGGCGCACACCTTTAATCCCAGCACTTGGGAGGTAGAGGCAGGAGGATCTCTGTGAGTTTGAGGCCAGCCTGGTCTACAGAGCAAGTGTCAGAACACCCAGGGCTATGTAGAGACCCTCTTGTCTCAGAAAGGCCTGCCTTCAATCCTCAAACTACCAAAATAAAGAAATAAATAATAATAAAATAAAAAAATAAAAGGAGAGAGAGAGTAAAATACCCAAGTATATATAAATGCTAAAAAGTTAACAAAACGTTACAGAAACTCTACCCAACAGACTCCACATGGAAAAGTTACTGCCCTGTTTCAAAAATATTTACAGCTTCCTCCTTTCCAGGCCACCCAGAGAGATAGGGTGGCTTGTGGTGAGGGGCAGGGACCAGGCGCGCTGGCCTGCCAGCCCACCTCTGGGAGGTACAGGGCACTACACAGTAGCCTCCCCGAAGTGGTCACGTGAGAATGACTTCCACTCAAGGCATCCTCCACGGAAAACACTTCTCCCTGTCACTGAAGAGAAAAAAAAAAAAAAAAAAAAAAAAGCAAGCGGCTGTTGTGAGTGCCGGGGGGTGGGGAGGAGCTGGTAATAACTCTTGCAGTCATCCACACCCTCGCCAGTTGGTGGTTACCAAGATCCCAGACACTTCCTAATGCCAGACAAATGCCCCAAGCCTCGGCATGTCTGGCTTGGAGATCTATTCAACTGATAGCCCCCGCCTTTCCTAGGGAGAGCCCCACTACCCGGCTAATCAAACAAAACATTGTTCTCAGAAGGCAGAACGAAAGGCTTGTCTCTGGGCCACGACGGCGACGACGACGTTTGGGGTTTATTTAATATCTATATGCCCCCAACTAAAAGGTTGCTACAAAACTTGGGCTTCCTGAGACGAGGTTGTTTTGCACAGAGCGTGCACTGTATAAAAATTCCAGGAGGGGAGGAATCAGAAAGTTAGGAACCATTAAAAAAAAAAAAAAAAAAAGCCCCAGGCACTTGATGCCTGGAAATGATGTAAGACGCAGCCACTCCTCTGTTAGACCTACAACCCAACCAAACGGCGCTCACATCCACCGCAGCCGGCTCTCCAAATGTCAGCACCAGCGCTGGGCAAAGCTTGAAACCCACCAGGCTTCAGGAGGGTTTGCCATCCACATTTTCCCCCGCGCACTCTCAGGAACCTGGCAACAGGTAACGTGGCAACCTTTGACTTCTAAAACGGCGAGTGGGATAATTTCAGGGAGCACATGGATTGTTTCCCAGCCAGCTGCATCTCTCCTACCGCCCCCGCACCCGACTTCCTCCCTCCCCAATCCAAAGTCTGGGAAAACAAACTCAGGGCTGCGGGCTACCCTGCTCTTGGGCGTACCCTGGTGGCCGAGACCGGAACAACATGCACGTGCTCGGAGCTCCGCGGCAATTCCTGCTGGTAAGTGGCGTTGTGGAAGCGGGCTGTTGGCCCTGCGGACTTGTTTCCGGTAAAGAGCTGGAATCCATCCAGAATATCTTCATTTTTTTTTGTTGTTGTTGTTGTTTGTTTTCGAGACTGGGTTTCTCTGTGTGGCCTTGGCTGTCCTGGCACTCACTCTGTAGCCCAGGCTGCCCTAGAACTCAGCCTCTGGCTCCTGAGTGCTGGGATTAAAGGGGTGCACCTCCACGCCCAGCTCCAGAACGTCTTTATTTTTTATCTAAGCACATTAACAATTTTCCCACCTGTATGCTGAGTAGACCCTCTGGACTAGGACCTAGAATCAATGAGGGTAAACACTGGGCATTCTGCGAGATGCATGGCAGGTCGCACAGGGCTGTGATTCCTTCCTCCTGAGGCTGATGGGGGAGGATCAGGGTTCAAGACCAGCCTGGGCTCCCTAGTCAGACTCGGTCTTGAAAACGCATCAACAAAAATGGGATTCCTGCTGTGACGACTCCCATCCCCCCCTCCCTGTTTGTCTTCAAGTGTATTCTGCATGCAGACACCTTTTGGGCCTGCAGCGTTCCTAATCAGCCCTGTTGGGTTCCTATCTGCAAGGATTACTGAAGATTTCCACACTGCCAGACCAGCTTCCCAGACAGCAGCCTCCAAGCTCCAGCTACACCCAGGAAAATGCCAGCGGCAGTGTTTTTAGGCCGTCTGATCCGCGCAGACACTGCCCCACCCCTTCTGCTGGGCAGGAATGGAGACCCACCGTTGTGGGCTGCTGTTAGCCCCAGGACCTGGTACTCCTTGGTTCTGCATCTGGAAATGGTACCCGGAAACTGAGAGGTTCAGATCAAAGTAATTGTTCTTTTTCAGAAACTTCCATTAATTAACTAAATTAGAGGACACTGAATGATGCTGGGGGTGGAGGTGTTTCTGTAGAAGGCTCAGGTCCAGGGGTTATGGTCTGAGCCCTGTAATACAGACTTTTAATGAAGTTTGACAGTCAATTAAATAATACTAGAAGCTGAAAAGTTACCATATGTGAAAGCAGCCCATGCCTGTAAACCATAGACATTGGAATAGCATTTGCCCAGACCATTTAAGGTCAAAGATTAAAGCTTGGGAGTCTGAGTAGGCATGGGTTGGCCCCTGGCTAATGTGAATGGCAGCCTGTTGAGAGGCCAGGGCACCTGTGTTGAAATCTGGATATTTCAATCTTCAGGCTTACTAATTTCCAAGGCGGGAGTGTTGTTCTCAGTTGGGAATTTGATCTGGACTTCACACTTGATTTTCCCAGCTTTGCTAACAGGTGCTGTTGAGTCATCTGGGCACACAGATGACTGCCCTGGACGTTTCATCACTGCGAAGATTTCATTTCCATTTGCCCCATGACTTTGTGGAGTGATTTCTACCATTGACCCAGATCACTTCCTCTTAGACTTAGGGGATTGTTTTTTTTTTTTTTTTCCTTCTTCAGCATTTGTAATCATGTGTGTGTGTTTTTCAAAATAACGTCCCAGCCTGGCTCACAGGTCTTCCTGAGTTGAATGGACTGTTTACAGAAAGGGAAGATTCAGGGCCCAAGGTCAGGGTTACAGAATTATATAAGGTTTCCTGTTTGGGCAGCTGGTCTACCAACCCTTCAGTTAGGCCGGACTGAGTTTTGATGAAAGACAGCATGCCAGCTGGGTGTGGTGGCATACACCTGTAACTTAGCACGCGGGAATATCAGAAGTCCAAAGTCAGGCCACCCAAAGCTGTGTATAAAAACTCAGAACTACTAGGAGACTAGTGTGGAAATGATGCCAGGAGCAAGAAAAGTGATGTCTTTGACATTCTCATCAGCCAACCAGCTTTCATTTGTCTTCAGATGCCGATTCTCGGCCATTTGGCTGGCTCTATATTCTATTCACTTTTTCTTTTTTCCTGGCCAGATTGAGAGAAGGACATTCACTAAGGAGGTAGGAAGCACACAGCCAGGTATTCTTATCTGTCTCACCCACGGATGACACCGCAGTTCTTAGAACAGGTATGTCACAGTCATGCCATAGTAAATATTTGTCACATGAAAGGATGACTGAGAACAGGAAGACACTTCCTGGAGAAAAAGGAAACGGGACTGTGATAGCAAAGCCATTCTGTGTGGCCTTGAGCCTCCCAGTCCAGCCCACCCCTCTCTGGAGCTTCAAGGTTGGCACCTATGGGTTCTACTCACCCTGAATGGAAAGCATCTGGAAGTGCAAACTGAGCCTGCACCGAACACGCACAGACATTTATTTGCTGTTCTCTATGTATAGTATAACAACGGTTTACTTGGTGTACATCCACACAATCCTAGCATGCAGGAGGCTGAGGCAGGGGGACTGCAAATGGAAAGCCAGCCTGGGCTACAAGTTGAATACTTGTCTCAAAAAACTAACATCTAGCCAGGAAGGTTGGCACACACTTTTAAGCCCAGGACTTGGGAGGGAGAGGCAGGCACGTCTCTGTGTGAGGCTTTCCCTGTCTACAGAGCAAGTTCTTGGCCATCCAGAGTTACAAAGTGAGACCTGGTCTTAAATATATGTCTTTATCAGTGTTCTTAGCTGGCATGGGGCAGGCCCTGAGCTTGATGATCTTTAGATCCACCAAAATAAAAAACAATAGTTACAAAGCATTTGTATTAGGTGTTGGAAGTAATCTCAAAATGGCTTTCAGTACGTTGTACACAGGTTATGTGCAGATACTGTACAAGAGACTAGAGCAGCTGAGTATTCCTGTAAACATGCAGGGCAAGAGGTTGCTCCAGAATCAACCCTCCAAGGCTACCAAAGGACAACAACATAGTCTGTTGTCGCCAGTACTCACTTCTGTTGGCACGAGTCCAGTGCTGGCCAACTTCGGCTATGAATAGCCAACTTTCGCCATGCAGCTAGTAGCTCAAACCTGTGTCATGAGGTTGAGGTGATTGCTCAGTGGTAGAGCCTGGCATGTTTGAGGTCTGGAGCCCCAGTCCCAGCATCTTCAAAATGAAAAATGTAGTTCCCGCTCTCACCTGTGACTTATCCACCAAACATCCTTTGTTTTTGCTGGGTGTCACACTCAGGTCCTGATTGGCCGCCGAGTGGCCCAGGATGCCGAGCACCCCCTATCTGGGTGAATGTCTTTCTTCCCCTTAGTTCTTTACACTCATCATTACTAGGCTTTTGTCTTCTGTAGCCTAGGCTAGCCTGGAACGTACAATGTAGTTGATGCTGACCCTGAACTCCTGATCCCCCAGCTTCAACTTTCCAAGTGTTGGGATTACAGACATGCCATTGTATCTGCCTCCCCTTCCCAGAACCTTTGCTGTTCTGTCTTTACTTATTTGGAAATTTTTCTTATTATTTATTTTATTCATTCATTTGGTAAGGTCTCATGCAGCTTAGGCTGGCTTGGGACTTGAGGATAACCTTGAGTTTCTGACCTTCCTGCCTTCACCTTCTAAGGGGTAGGGTTATAAGTATGGACCACTAAGCCCTTTTTACATAGTATTGGGGACTGAAGCCACTACTTTGTACATGCCAGTCAAGCACTCTATCAATTTAGCTACATCTTCAGTTCCAGATTGAAAATGTTTTTATTTATTTTTTTAGGTTGGCATATATGGTTAGGGTTTTATCATGGCATTTCCCCAAGAACCCTTTCTCTACCTCATCTCAAGAGACTGAGCTTAGATTCACGAATACTACAACTAACCCGAATGGAACTCACAAACAACTACCTGCTTGGTTCTGGTACACAGACTGCAGCTGACTTGGCTCACCCGAGGCCATAGATGTGGAGAGGATTCCCGTATTGGAGGAGAGTATCAAGCTCACGGTATTTGTTTGTGTCCCTTCAGGAAGTGAGGAGCCTGTTTACAAATCCGAATACATTTACATCTATGGGAGCCCAGGCCTGGTAATTCCTAAGTGACTCGGGTGAGGCTTTATTGGGAGCCCTTCACAGCCCCTTAGCCTAGGCACTGAGAGCAGCCTGGAGAATGTATTGGGAAGCCTTGTACCTTGGAAAACAGGATTTGTGCTTAAGTGAAGAAAGGAAACCCATTTCCCCTTCTTACTGGTTTCTGGAAGGCGGGGTCTGTGGGAGGTGCCAGCAGCCCCAGGCGATGCAGATAAGCTTTTAATTAACCATCTACTTTCTTCCTTCCTCCTAGAAACCCTCCTTTTTTCAAAGGGAAAATTATTCTGTTAATCTGTATTGGACTCTGTGGTCCAGAAAGGATGTCTGTTCCTCACCCATACTCAGATAGCATGATCGGCCCTGAGAATGACAGATTCTCTCTGCCTGTGTCATTGGCAGCTGAGGACACAAATCTAAGAAAATTGCCCAGGTGACCCTCAGGGCTCTTTCCCACTGTAGGACTATTTAACGTGTCCCTCAAAGGCTTCGCTGGTCACCCTCGGGTATAGCTCGGTGGCCGAGCACACGCCTAGCATGTACAGGGATCTATTTCTAGCATGGGAAAAAAAGGACAGGAGGAACTATTGCGTGCTTGGCATTTGCCAGATTTCAGTTAAAACCCTTTTGAAGTTAAGATTAAAACTGGTATCAAGTTACTCCCACCTCTCGCCTGCTCATTGACGGAGTGTTAATGAACCTAAGGCTGTAGCTGGTCTCATTAAATCCCCAAAACAACCCTGCAGAGGAGGGGATGGCCTGCAGATAAAAATGAGGCCAAGAAAGAGGTTGTTTTGCTCTAATTCTCCCAGGACAGAGCTGGCTGGGAAGTTGTTCATCTCCTCACAGACACCTACTTAGTTTTCAAAGACATGCTGCTGTATCTGCTGGTTATGGTGGGTGAACACTTGTAATCCCCGAACTGGAGAGGTAGAGGCAGAAGGATCGGGTTCAAGGCTAGCTTCAGCTACACTGCGATTTCAAGGCCGGCCTGGGCTACATGAGACACTGTCTCAAAACAATAATGGCAAAAAGATTCTGCCTTTGGATTTTGGCAAGGGCAGCGCTACCAGAAGCTCATGTTGGAAACTCAGCCAACAATCCCTGGAATGCATGGATCGCAGACAGCTGATATGTAGTGATCCAATACTTGATCGAGGCTCTGAAACTCTTGGTGTAGTCATACTGTTGGCAGTTTCGGAGGCGTCAGGGAATAGCCTGCAGGGGTACTCACTTTCTGTACTGGACCACCCCTAGAAAGTAGTTTGTGTAAAGTTTAATATTTCAGTTTTATTTTGTTTATTTATTTTGAGACAGTGTTTCCCTGTGTAGTTTGTAGCCCTGGCTGTCCTAGAACTCTGAAGACCAGGTTAGTCTTGAAAGAGAGCTTCCTTGCTGGGCGGTGATATCCCACGCATTTAGTCCCAGCACTCAGGAGGCAGAGGCAGGTGATCTCTGTGAGTTTGAGGCCAGCCTGGTCTACAGAGCGAGTTCCAGGACAGCCAGGGCTATATAGAGAAACCCTTTCTGGGAAAAAAAAATGAAAAAACAAAAAAACCCAAACCCCAAATAAATGAGATTTGCCTGCCTCTGCTTCCTGAGTACTGGGATTCTGTACAGGAGTCTGGAACTCCTGATCCTTTTCCCCTGGCTTCTCTGCAGGGCCTACTGGTGTGCAGTCGGTTTCATAAGAGTGTCTCTCTCGCCTCCCTGTGGAGTTCTGGGTGTCCATTGGTTTACCAGTGCATAGTACCCTGCACATGAGACATACTTGTTAGTTTTTGTTGTAGTGGTAGGGGGTGCCTGGAGGGCCTTTTAACTGTCTTCTTTCCACGGGTTGGGTGATGTCTGAATGGCAAATGGTACCTCATGCTGTGTTCTTTGAGATAAACATTGCATATCTATAAGGCTGAGCTGCCCGCCCTTGCTTCTTCCCCTCCCTAGTCCCAGGCCAACTTCATAGACAGCAAAATAAAGTAGCTTTTTTTTTTTTTTTTTTTTTGGAGTGACAGGAGGGTGGGGGGGTCCACAGTAGGCTCTGTTTCGGAATCTTCTGGCTATAGATTATCTGCATAAGTTCTACACAGTAAACATGGTCTGGAGATCATTTTTAAATGCCTGGCTCTATGCTCTAGTTTAAACTCAGGTAATCCTTGTCACACAAGCTTGAATTACAGAATAAACCGAGGTGGGGTACATAGCTTGTGGTATAGCACCTGCCTAGCATATGGGGATCTCCACCCCCTGGCACTGCCAAAACAATCCTTCCAAGCTGATGTGTGGGTAGACAGATATATCAGTGAACCGCACAGGCGACTGATCAAAGACATTTTTATGACCCCAAACAGGCCCTGTGCTTACTTCCTGGTGTGGATTATGTTCTTGTTTTTAAAATGAACTATAAAAACGAAGGGCAATAAAATCTTGTTGGGTTTTTTTTTTTTTCCCCTTTTGGATTTCTATTATCGTAGGTCAGATTTTATTAAATAATAGCTTTGGGCTGACAAGAGAGCTCAGTGGGTAGAACACACTTGCTGCTAAGCCTGATAACCTGAGTTCAATCCTTGGAAACCCCCAGGGCAGGACAAAAAGACCTTTAGCAAGTGACCTCTATGCTTGGTCCCCCCTTTCTCCATAAAGAAATGAATGTAAAAAAAAAAAATCCAGAAGGCAACCATGAACATTGAAAAACTCTCCAGAGCGTGCTAGAAATCCCTGGTGTTGTGGGTCAGGGGCCTTGACAGAACTGGCTCACGGTGGCGGCTGACTTCTCTCATACCTGGAATGGGAATGCGGAAAAAACCTGCGGCAGGTAAGGGCTAGTGTGTGGATGTAAATTAACTACCAATAAAACCGTGGAGAAGAGAACCTTTTTGATGGCCGCTGCCCTGAGGTTCAGCCCGTTTGAGGCGCTGATAACCTTGTCAGGCCCGAAGATAAAGGCCAGTCTTGTCACCCCGGGCACCTGGCTGAGAGGTAATAAACAGCCTAATCTCCCAAGGGTGGACCCGGGCCAAGCTGGGCCTGCGGTAATTACAGCTCTAGAATTGCCATCCTCTTCTGAGGAACCGGGATGGGGAGGGCGCGGGAGGGGAGGAGTGGTGGAGGGCAGGAAATTGTGTTTGTTTCTGTCCTTGGATTTACAAGAGAAAGCAAGCCGTTCTCCGGGGTGTGAGAAAAACAGCCAGGGGTTAGGCTCCCCCTCACCCGGGGTTAACCGGCTTGCTGACGTGTCAAGCAGGGAGGCTCAGCTGCTGAGAACAATCCCGGAGACTTTAAGTGGAGCCTTCCCTTCTAAATGTAAATAGCAGAGTCATTGCTTTGCTAAGCGGGGGAAGGAAGTTACCGGAGCACCGAGTGACTCATTTGTCGCCGCCGTTCGCCCGGGCTGTTGGAAAAAAAAGTTTACCCAAAGCAAGAAATCGGCTTTAAGTCCCAGCTCTGTAAGGGAATTCCTCTCTGGCGGGATGAATGCCATCCACACAAAAGAGCCCCTGTTGACATCTCATTTACAATCTCCCCTAGGACACAGACAAGACCGCCTCAATAAACCCAGTTCAGAAACACCCATTGTTCAAAATCTTCCATTAGCAACAGGCTACCCTCACCCTAAGGCTTTGCAAAAGAAAAGACTGGGGTCGGAGGAAGCCTGGGACTGGGGAACCGAAAAGGCAGGAAAACATCCTTTGAGCCTGGCCGGCCAAGTGTGCATGCGGAATAAAGTTAATGGTATTTCCATATTTTTTTTTTCTTCTAAGAGATGCCTGGGAGAGTCCCAAATGAGTGATTGTGAACTCTAAGTTTGATGTCAGCTCTATACAGAAACTTCTGTTAACGTGATTGCTAAATAAAGAGACCACACTCTACCTAACTTACCTATTCTCAGCTTGGGAAACCTGATACTGCCGCAGCAGAGCGCCGCGGAGTCTTTAAGAGGCATTGTTTGCTTCTGAGAAGAACTCAAACCTACACTTGTCCACAGAGTTCTTGATCACTTCCACCATTTTGGTCCCTCTCTCAGTAAAGCTTGAAAGTTCCTGGAATTATATACTAATGTTCTTTGGATACACTTTAAATTACAGAATACGTTTGCATTTACCAAAAACGGAAGTGGGATTTAAAAAACAAACAAGCAAACCCCATTACCTTTACCCTCCTAAGTGACTTTCCAGTTAACATGTCTTGCCCCAAATCCACTGTTCAAGCTAGAATTCTGGCCCTCATCTTTCTGATCCTCTGTCTCTGAGGTCATTCTGGAATCATTCTGTGTCCTGCTTGACCCTTTCTCGGTCTCTAGCTCTTTCTATTTATTAACCTGTCTCCGGAGTGTCACAGCCATTTCCTACCTCAGGTTTCTACAGCTCCAGGTTGTGATTTATTAATGAGTCATGAGATCAACGGCGGTGAGTCATGCAGTTTCACTCTTTAGAAAGGAAAACGTTTAAACAGAAAATACCAACCAGAGTGCCTCATGGTTAGGAGAAGTATTGTTGCGTGAAGTGTGTTTGTCCGGATCTGTGTACAGAGTAGGCGACAGGCTGAATGCTGTTGTTTGTCAAAAGTATTTTCTAATTGGTCATCCTGTGGGTCTTGTCCCTGTTTAAACTGTTGTGTGTACTTAGAACCACAGTGAAAATGTGGAACATACAGCTTGTCCCTTACAAATGCCCCTCAGAGGAAGGTGTCCCGTCTGGGGTTGAGGAAAGTCCTGCTCCCCAGTTCTGTAACCTTCAGACCCCTCTTCCTGACTAATCATACTTTAGTTATTCAGGCAATCAAGTTTCCTCACTTTGCCATGGGATTCCTACTGTGGAGATGCTTCCTTCTCCCTCCTGGTCCAGGAACAGTGAAGGTGTCACCACCTCCTGGAAGACATCTGCTCTGTCCTTTCAAAGGGCCCTCTCCCTGCTCTCCCGGCCTGACAGAGGAGTTACTGTATCCTGTGATCTTTTCAGTTCCTTCTGAATTCAAGCCCCCAAGCGGGCATTCCATTAGCAGGTGTGTTGCCTTGAGGGTTGCCTAGGCGAATGGCTCACTTTCCACCCCACTCTGATCTTGGCTTCCTCTGTAGAGAAGAGGTCTTTTTATGCCAGAAGTCCCTCCCTCTTCAGGTGAGCTGGTCAGAGCGGATTGGATCTGACATGCAGCCGGAGTGACTCGAGAAAGCCTTCTGCATGCTGAATGACACACGTCCTCCACAGTCATGACATTTGTCAGCTGCTGTGGCAACAGCAGGTGTGTGTGTGTGTGTGTGTGTGTGTGTGTGTGTGTGTGTAACGACAATAACTAAGAGGCAACACCCAAGTTCCCTGAGAAGTAAAACCTTCAGTCACCCCCAGAACAGACACGGATGGATGTTCCTCTATATTGACTTGTTCTTTCTCTCACTGGGCTTTAACCTCCCAACCCCCAAGGACCGAAAAGTTGATTTTCGTCACGCATCTTTCTTGTTCTTGGACCAGGATGAAAGGCTCCTCTACCACTCTACTGATGTCTAGGACAGGCTTGGTGCCTGCAAGCTGATGCAGGTGCAGAGCTGCCACACAGCAAGATGCCCGTAGGAGTAAACTCGAGACCGCTCAAAACCAGCTGGGACCAGCATGGCCAGAGGTGGCAGCTGACTGTCCCTTGTTATGGCGTCTCCATAGCAACAGTCTTGCAAAATTCCTATTGTTACCATCCATCTGGCTCCATGATACATTTCCCAAACTCCATATAAGGACCGAAAAGAGATGTAAACCCTATTCTAGGAATGCCTATCCTGCCAGCCATGACTTTTAATCTTCCCTATATTATAGGGTGCCTGGTTAGTTTCGAGGTTCAGCCATCAGACTAGCAGTTCCGATGTTCAGTCATCAGACTTGCACCCCCCTATTTTTCCTCCCACTTTTGAAATTACTTTGTTTAGCCGGAGTGCAGGGGCCAGGACTGTGAAAAGACAAAAGGCTTGCTCTCAAGCTGGGTGTAGGAGCACTGAGAAGTGGGCACTGGAAGATCAACAGTTCAGAACCAATCTGGGCTACGACATGGCGAATTTGAGGCCAATCTGGGCTTCAGAGGATTGAGAGATGAAGAGACCTTCCCAAGGCCAAATAGCTTTTTAGGAGTAGGAAATTAACGCTGTGCAGGCTTTAATTAATTAACTTAGGAGTGCTGGGGATTAGACCCAGGGTGTGGGGCACGCTAGGCAAGGACTCTACAGCTGGTGGCAAGTGATGGTTCATCTGGCAAAAGCCCTTATTCAGTTGGATCCTGGAAGACATGGTGGAAGGAGACAACACACGCCACCAACTTGACCTCTGACCTCCACAAATTCACTGTGGCACATGTGCATCCTAACAATAGACAATGCAATAAAAATTTAAGAAGCTCTACAAACTGGGCTATACCCCATCTCTCTATAGATTTCAATATTTATGTAGAGACAAGATCCCTTTATGCAGTTCAGGTTGGCCTGGAACTCAAGATACTCTTGCCTCAGGCTCTCAAGGGTCAGGGTTACGGACATACATCACTACATCAGCCC